TTGGCAGGTTAGTTAGTACAGTGACCGTGTGTCCCTGAAAATAGGGCCTCAGTTTTTGGGCGGCAGTTACCAATGCTAGGGCTGCCTTCTCGATGGCTGGGTACCTTCTTTCAGTTGGGAGAAGCGTCTTACTGATGTAGTACACTGGCTGATCTGCAAGATTTTCAAGGTGACGCCTAACAAGCACCGCACTGATAGCCACGTCTGATATGGCTATGTAAAGGAACAGACGTTCTCCCTCCTTTGGAGCTACGAGGATGGGGGGATTCACTAGCAGAGTCTTCATTTCTTCGAACGCCTTCTCACATTCTTCCGTCCACTTGAACTTGGATTTCTTCTTTAGAGAATTGAAGAGTGGGGCGCACCTATCCGCTGACCTTGGAATGAACCTGTTAAGCGCGGCGAGTTTACCTGCCAATGCTTGAACCTCTTTCACTGTTCTTGGTGACTTGAGTTCGGCAATTGCTTTTATCTGCTTCGGATTAGCCTCAATACCACGGCGAGTGATCATGAAGCCTAAGAATTGACCCGCACCTGCTCCAAATACACACTTGAGGGGGTTAAGCTTCAGATTGTGGCGCCTCAGGTTCTCGAACGTCTCCCTGAGGTCGCTCAGATGGTCACCCTCTTTCTTACTCTTGATTAACACATCGTCTACGTACGCCTCCACATTTCGTCCTATCTGCTCTCCAAAGACTTTGTCCACCATCCTCTGGTAGGTGGCACCCGCGTTTTTCAGACCAAATGGCATCACTACATAGCAGTAGTTCCCATACGGGGTCATGAAAGCAGTTTTCTCTTGATCTTCTTCGCTGAGAGGAATTTGGTGGTACCCTGAGAACATGTCGAGAAAGCTTAACATCTCGTGATTGGAGGTGGCATCGACCAGCTGGTCAATTCTTGGTAATGGGTACGGGTCCTTCGGGCATGCTTTGTTTAGCGAGGTGAAGTCAATACACATTCTCCATGTCCCGTTGTGTTTCTTGACTAACACTGTGTTTGCCAACCACTTCGGGTACTGCACCTCTCGGATGAATCCTGCCTTAAGTAGCTTTTGTACTTCTTCCATCATGGCCACCCTCCTTGCCAACGATGCTCCCCTTCTTTTTTGCTGTACTGGCACACTTTCTGGTTTCACGGAGAGCTTATGTTCCATAAGGTCTCTGGAAACGCCTGGCATGTCTTCAGGGCTCCAAGCAAACAAGTCTGAGTATTCCCGTAATAAGTTGATCATTGGGAGGCGCATGTGCTCCGGCAGATGGGCCGAGAGTCGGACGACTCGGCTTGGGTCGTCGGGGTCTAACGGTAGCTCTATTTCTGAATCTACTGCTCCTGGGCGCGGCACTTCTGTTGGCCTGGCATCAATCGTGTGTATTTTTGGCTTGTGCAAGGTTGCTGCATAGCACGCCTTTGCTGCCTTCACATCTCCTCTGGCTATCCCCATTCCTTGGGGTGTTTGGAATTTCATTGCTTGATGACAGGTCGAGGCCACAGCTCCAAACTTAGCTAGAAAAGGCCTTCCTAGAATGGCATTATACGCGGATGGGCAATCGGCAATGTGGAAGTCCACTGGATGTGTAGCACTCGGCTCCTCATCTCCTACCTTGACTTTTAGGCGCGCAGTTCCTAGCACCTTTACTTTCGCTCCGGAGAAGCCGACAAGTTGGGCCTCTGAAGCCTGCATCACCTCAGGGGGTGTCTGCATTTGGCGCCAACAAGAATAGAAGAGTATGTCAGCGGAACTCCCACTATCTACCAGCACTCTGAACACCTTGAAACCTTCTACTTGTATGTTGATGACGAGAGGGCTTTCAGACGGGCCCTCTGGAGGATAGTCTTGCGATGTAAACGACAGGTCGGGGCCATCTTGTTTTGCGATCTTCGTAAGTGTTGCTTGCTTGCCCCTTGCGCTTCTTCTTTCGGCTAGGCTCCCCTCCCGCAATAGTTCTTATCTCCTTGACGTTCGGGTTGGGGCCTAGGCGCTCCTGTACTGGTGGCCTGGCGGCTGGGGAGCGACTGCGTTCCCGCGGGGATTGGTTTCCCTGATCTGCTTTCTGAATCATATCCCTTACCCCTCCTCGATCAGAGATTATCTTGAGTGCCTTTTTGAAGTAGTGGCAGTCAACAGTGTTGTGGGTGCGCGAGTTGTGGTACTCGCAGTACATGTTTGCCTGCCCACGAGATTGGTTCACGTTCTCGCGATTGGTGCGGTCGCGGCGAGGCTCTTGTGAATTTGCAAGAACGTCTCTCCTTACCCAGACATTGGGACGTCGGGTATCATCTCGTCGATCAGGACTCCGCCTTCTGGCCCTAGGCGCCTCGCCCCTCCCATTCTGAGCTGGACGCCTGGAGCTACCTCCTTGCTCTTCCTCTTTTGACCCTAGCGCTTCCTCCATGAGAATTGCCTTTTGAATCTTTTCCTCCAGCTCAGCCACCTGTCTTATCTCTCTTTTGGCCAGAGAGCGCCTTAGCTCTTCGTTAGTGCTGGCGTCCATTAGGTTGGTGCGCATAAGTGGAGGGGTTAGGTCTTTAACATCGGACGCAACCTCCCACCATCGCCCCATGAAGTGCCTGAGGCTCTCTCCCTTTCTTTGCTTAAGGTTGACAAGTGCCCGAACCGTCAGTGTCTGCCTCTTCTGGCTTGCGTACTTTGACGCGAATTGAGCGAAGCTCTGAATGATGCCCTCCGGAAGCGATGAGTACCAACTACTGCATGCTCCGGTGAAGGTTGAGGGGAATGCCTTGCACAAGGCGGCGTCAGACGCGTTTAGAAGCTGCATTTTACGGCAGAACGCACTCAAGTGATCCTCTGGATAAGATTTTCCTTCATATGATGGTAGACCGATGCTTGCGAAATTTGGTGGGATTGGTGTCTCAAGCACTCCTTTTGACAATGGCTGTCTAATGATTTGAGAACTCCTTTCCTCCAAGGCGCCATAGTTGAGTCGGGCGTACTTCTCCAAGTAGACATCGTCGTCTGCTTCCATTGCATCCTCATTTGGCGAGGCGCCCACACCCTCCCTTGGGGAGTTCGTGGGGGGCGCCTCAACCTCCAGCATTTTTCCTCGGAGGCGCCTCCTCTCTTCCATGGCTTCTTGTGAGTTGGGAGGCGCCTGGTCGTTACCTTTGGTGAGTGCCGTCAATGCGGTCATGACTTGGTCTAGTTGGCCTTGCATGCTCGCCATTTGAAGTGCTTGCTTTTCCCGGAGCTTTGCCAGTTGGTCCTCCATGCGCCCCGCGCCTTCTCCGTTTCCCGATGAATCATCGTCGTCGGATGCTTCCAAACCTTGGATGGTGAGTGGTTGAGGGTTGATTGCTTCACGACCAACAACTTGCTTGAGTGGCGTCTTTGTAGGCGCCAGACTCCTTTCCTCCCCCTTCTTTGAGTTGGAAGCGTCTTTCAAGGTCATGCTTGGCCCCACGGTGGGCGCCAATTGTTTGAGCCCGATCGACTGAGGGTCGCTCGGGTCCAAAGGGTTTGGGGTGTCAGCCATGACCTTGAAGGGGTAGGCGCCCCTCCTCGTCCGAAGCAGAAGAAGAGAAGGAGTATGTAGAGAGAGAAAGTAGAGAGAAGTTAGAGTAAAGAGTAGATAGTTCTTATTTATGAGGAGAGAACTCCTATTTATACACAATTGAGGGTTAGGTAGTGGTCTGGGCGCCTGCCAAGTCATAAATGCTCTGGTCGGGCGCCTCAGACTCTCTGACACTATTCATAGTCCTTTTGGCAGAGGGTGTCCCCCTGCCCCTTGTCCTTGCTGATGTCAGGTGCCTGGCCTTGTCTCTTGTCTCCCAGCCTTGTCTTTTTCCTCTTGTCTTCTTTCCTTCTTCATGCCATTAGCCATGATATTAATCCCTTAATTACTATGATACCCTATCAATTTGTAACAATAGGAGAGTTCAAAAAAGAGATGCAAAATTATTGGGTTTATTGCATGGTTGGTCACTGAGATTACAAAACGTTCAAGTTTGGTCACTCGAAATATTTAAATCCATTGGTGGTACTTCATTTTACTGAAACTGTTCACGTTTGGTCACTCTCCGTCCAACTCCGTTAACTTTTGCTGATGTGGCAGTCAACTCTCAAAGTTGACCGTTAACTTAGTGACGTGGCAATTAAAAAATAATAAATAAAAAAATTTAATCTATTTTATTTTTACCATAAAAAATAAAATAAAATAAAAAATAAAATATTTATTTTTTTGGGCGAAACCTGCTTTCATCCCACATCTGGTCGGAATGGGACTCTACCCGCCATTCTCATCCCAAGCTCTATAGGTTTGATGGAGGGCGTCAAGCTGGCGGCCGCGAAATCTTGATATCCATGCCGAAACGGCGTGGGAGGAGGAGGAGTATTTTTGTTGGTGCTGCTGCAGCGGTATTGCCAAAAGCATGCAGATAGGGGTGGGCATTCGGTCGGTTCGGTTTCGACCTCCAACCGAAATTATGAATACCGGGTCCCCGAATTCTCCCAATCCCAAACCGAATTCGAACCGAATTAAAATTCGGTTCGGTCGGTTTAAACCGAATTATAATTCGGTTCGGTTTTATACACAAAACCGAAATTGAGAGGCTACTTGTATCTTCTCACTTTTAAATTATTTTTCACCCTTAATATAAACAATAAATATGTAATTATATGCATCATCAATGATAAAATCAAACTTTTCAACACATAAGTAATAAAATATTTCAAATATTTAAGTCTAAAAACAAATACAAACATAAAAATCCACCATTTAAGCTTGCAATTACAGTATTTCGATTTTTTGGTCGGAAATTCGGTTCGGTTGAAAGAACCCTGATTTCCGAATTATTCATATTTTCCTTCCGAATTCCGAACCGAATAACATTAGTTCGGTTTCGATTCGGTTTCGGTTCGGTTCAGGTTTACCGAACCGGTTGCCCACCCCTACATGCAGAGCATCATTGCTGCCTTGAGTGGCCACAACCACGACGACAATGGCGGCCAGAAGAGGGAAATCAAAGGCACAGTGGTGCTGATGAAGAAGAACGTGCTGGAGTTCAACGCTTCCATCGTCGATCGCTTCGACGAGCTCTTCGGCCGGGGAGTTTCTCTGCAGCTCATTAGCTCCGTTCATGGCGATCCTCGTAAGTTTCCGTTTTTCATCAAACCTATAGAACTCGGGATGGAAATGGTGGTAGAGTTCCATTCCTACCAGATGTGGGATGAAAGCAGGTTTTGCCCAAAAAATAAATATTATATTTTTTTATTTTTTGGTAAAAATGAGTTGGACATTAAAATAGATTAAATTTATTTTATTTATTATTTTTTAATTGCCACGTCACTAAGTTAATGGTCAACTTTGAGAGTTGACTGCCACATCAGCAAAAGTTAACGGAGTTGGACGAAGAGTGACCAAACGTGAACGATTTCAGTAAAGTGAAGTACCACCAATGGATTTAAATTTTCGAGTGACCAAACTTGAACTTTTTTGTAATCTCAATGACCAACCATGCAATTAACCCCAAAATTATTGTTTCGCCTTACCCAAAATTGGGGTGCATGTGAAGGAAGGAAGAAGGGGGAATTATTTTCCAATAAAATATTTAAAATATTTTATAATTATATAATAATTATTATTATCAATATCTTTTCTTATAGTTATCATTAATATAAATATATTCGGGATTGACCGTTTGACTCCGAGAGAAAGTTTATCAATGTTCGTCTAGTCAAATCGAGATCTCTTGGTGGACTCGAATTTACATTGTGAATTAAAGATAAGAAGTGCTTATAAAAAAAAATAGTGAGAAACGGTTAGGTGACTCGGTTTATTTCACTAAATAGTTAAAGCTTACATATTCGAAGGTGTTTGACTAAGTTTGACCATATTCAATTTAAAATTAAATGATACACGAGAAACTTGTAGGATGATCAGTTACGAGTTGAGCTTCGAGCTTCAATGTCGTTAAGTCAATGATTATTACAGTTGTTACAATTAATTATTATTTAAGTATTATTATATAATAATTATTTTATTAAATTATATTTATATTTTATTAAAGTATATTATTTATTTATTATTATTATTTTGTGATAATATTTAATAAATTTATTTATAATAAACATAATTACTTACTTTTCGCTCTATTTGCACCCTCTACTTTTTCTTCCTAACAACAATTTACCTCTCCACTTGCACCCCCACCAATTTACACCCCAATCAATTTATCACTCAACTTGCACCCTTCTCGAATTTGCATCCCCCTTGTTGCCAAACATAGTAAAGTTTACGTTCACTTCAGTGCCTAGTGATTAGTCAAAACTCAAAATAACTACAAACTGATAATGGCCGGGTCGGAGGGTACTTCAATACTCATACTCGTTTCGCACCAAGTACGAATCAGGTGGGTAAAATTCACGTGGGTATGAGGTGAGATGGGTCGACCTGCTCTTACAAGGTATTTTAAAAAAATACACACAAAGTTTTACTTTTTATGACAAAACGAAAGAAAAACACTTTATGGGTGAATTATAATAGAATGGGTATTTGAGTATAACCAATTGAAATATCAAATCTAACTGGTTGAAGAAATAGGAGAAATATGAATAGATATTGTAAGAAATTAAAATAGAATGTGCTAAGAACGGGGCAGGGCAGGACATGGCAGGTCAAAAGTAGGGGATTGCAATGTGTCAGGTAGGGGCGGGTTATGCCAAACCCAAACCTAAACCCATGGGTTATCCACACAAAAAAAAAACTCCGAGGTAAAACCCACTGGATTTGGAAAAATCAAACCCAACCCACCCCGCTGGGTATTCGCGGGTTCATGGGTACCCATGGGTTCATGTACAAAGATGCAATTACACTAGTTTTCACTACTATTGTCCACTACATACGTGCTAACTCACAAACTATTCAAACTCATTGTTCAATATTAAAGATAAACATCCACAAACAATATGATTAATTGAATGTTTGAGAAATTAGTTTAGAACTTATAGTTAATTAGTTAAGAGTTATGTGGGTCGTTGGGGGTATGGACTTGGGTGCGGGTATCTACGGATTGGATATAGTTAAACCCAAACCCAACCCAAAAAAGTATAACGGGTTTAAACCCGAACCTGGCCTGCAATCCGTCAAAGCGGGTTTTACCAGCGTTGAACAAATTTGGTCGGGTAGGGTACCACGGATTCGGGTTCTAATGCCATCCATAGTCAAAAGTAGATATCCATGCCCCGCCCCGCCCCACGTTACTGCAGGTCGGGTAATACTCTCCCCTTCAGCCGATTAGATTGAGTAATACCCGATGAAGCGGTTCAAATTGACTATACTACAAACAAAATAATTTCCAAAATAGAAGGAGCTATTTTTTATTATTATCGTAACATAACTTCAATCACCAAGAAATAAAAAATCAAAGAGTCAAAACAACGCCCTGAACGAAGATGTGAAATTGAAACCAATTAACTTAGGAATAGCGAAATGGTCTTTTCACCACCAAATGAGCAGCCCTGTTGTTATCTCGACCAATGAAGTAGACATCAAGCCTTTGAAAAATACAAATGTTGTCAAAAACGAACCGGAGTATGACCCTATAATGTGAATGGCTCGATCTTTAGCGGTCCAACCGACATTACATTGTTTACAAACCATTCGAAAACCGGTACCTAATAAACAATCAGTATAAATAGTGGGCACCTCTTAATCATGGCAAACCATGATTAAATTAGTAAATTACACTCTTAAATCTTAACAATTTCAAAATATGCCAGTGGAGAGCCGGGAGCGGCTACATGGATTGGGGATGGCGACGGGAAGCCCTGGGACAGGAAGTGATGACAGAGCGGAGGAGTTGCAAGTGGAAGAGGGGACGGGGACGGTGACTGGTGATGGCGAGCTGGGAGCTGCAACGCTGACTGGGGATGGCGACGATGCCGACAGGAAGCCAGGATGGGAAGTGTTGAAGGCGGCAAGGTCTGGTGCTGCTCTTCTCCCTCTGTTCACGAAGAGTCAAAGACGAAAACTGAATTAGAGTTAGGGTTTCTTTCCCATCCCCACGATTTTGCCTTTGGTTTTCAATTTTCGATTTCCTTTTTCAAATTTTTTTATTAAGTAGAACGGTCGGAAGGGGAAAACCGAGCGACCAGTTCAAGCAGCTCGAGTGGTTAACCGTCTCGGTCGCTCACTGGTCGCTCCATAAAATCGTAGCGGCTAATTGACTCACCCGAGACGGTTTTGCGACCGGGTGGCGGCTTTAGCGGTCCGGTCTTAATAACACTTCAAAATACCCTCCAAGCACTGCTGTGTCGGCTAAAATGGCCACACCACGCGCATGTAAGACAACTCCATCACGTAATTTGTCTTGCACGTCCTTTACATCACCCTTAAACACCACCCTCGTAACCCCATGTATCACACACCACCAAACAACCTCTTTTAACACCAAAAGTTCCAAAAGGAAAGGTCCACCACGCCATCAAACAAACGACCCTCTACTGCCATAGTCAATCCTCTAACAAATTGCAAAATCCAATCCCCTAGCGTTATGAGACCACATTGAACAACCCGAGACCATTCCCCCTAATATTGAACTACTAGCATGTCAGCTGATTAGATCTGAGCGGTATTGTAGTAGTCCTTGCCACTCACCCACCTGCAAAGAAAACTATCTAATCAAAATAGGTAAAGAGTATTGAGTAAACTCAAACACCGCCCAATTGCGAGACTTCCAAGTGTGGCAGAACAAGACAATCATACGCATGAGCTGCTCTCTCATCACTCCATGATGCTCCCTGAACTTGCGTCAAAACAAGACAATATTGATCTGAGAAAAAGAATACAGACAACCCCCAACTCAAATCTTTCTCAAATCCCACGCGCAACACCATATTATAAAAAGATATGCTCCAACGACTCAGTCCCCACCTCACAACCGGACAATGCACTAGGCCCGCAACCCTTGGTTGCCAGGGCCTCTCCCGTGGGCAGAACCCCATGAAGAAGTTGCCACAAAAAGTAACTCAACTTGGGTGGGATGGGTAAAGTCAAGACCATCGACCATAAACCCCTATCCATCAAAGAAACGTCGGCCTTATAAGGGGGTTCACGACTTTGATGCAACTTAGCAGCCAAATAGTACCCTAATCGGACAGAATAATTTTGATGCCTCAAAATTCCATACCAACGATCTGAGAGAGGGGTCACCGTCACTAAAAAACTATAGCCATTATAGACCAAGTTGTGTCCTCGAGGAAAAACATGACTAACCTTTCTCGATTTCATAGATTCACATGTGAGATGATAATTTCAAACTGACCCAATTTGGGAGAATATGTCAAAATGGTTTTGACTGATATCAAGGCTACATACTCTAATGTGCCTTCGTATTTTTTGATATGGACAACTTATTTGTTGCCTAGACACAACTTTGTCATTTGACTATTAACGAAAGATAAGATTATCACCAAGGTGAGACTCAAGTATCGGTGCAAAGTTTTAAATGATAATTGTAAGCTATGTGGAGTGGACTCTGAGACCATATCTCATATGTTTTTCCCGTGTTCCTACTCTATTGAAGTTCCGAAAGGGTGCATGTTGTTGCTGAAACAGATGTGCAAACCATGTTTGGCGTTCAAATAGTATTTTGCTTGGGTTGTACAAATTTATAATGAAGAAGTCATGTTCTATTCTAAGTAGGGGAGATTGATATAGAACTTGACAATACGTGTTTTGTGGAGTGAAAGATAAAGTATGCTACATGGTGGTTCTAGTATTGATCTGGCTAGAGTGGTGGCAAGAATTCAGAGCATATTTGAACTAGCTCAGGTTAATATGCAATTATGCAGCTAGATTTAGGTGGTATATAGTGTATTTCCAATACTTGTTAAAATGTTGATGTTAGTTTTTTCGTGTATCACTTTTTTGTTGCAAAATAAAACACAATGCATGTATTTAATTGTTGATGTGACATTTGAAAACATTCAGCACGAATGATTTAAAATCTTAACTATTTGGTAATTTTGTTGAGATTGTAATGAGCTTTTATTCTCTTAATGTCCTTATCAACTTTTATAAGTTTTGACTTTTATATCTAAAAGGAAGGGTACATATGAATTTTCATTCAAAAAGTGGGTTTCCTACTTTGTTCCTAGAAATACAATCACAACTACCTAAAATTGTAATCTTAAGATGCAATCATTTAACCAATACATTAAGTTATAATTCATGCATTCATACAATACATCAATTCTAAAAATTGCAAATACCAAACAAGGCCTTAGTAACAATGTGAACTAATATATATA